AAAATCTGGGACTTTTCAAGTCAATAGTGAATCGGTTCCTTCTATGCAAGCACGCTCCATCTTAGACCACTGCATTGCTTACCATCAGGTGATCTGTGGTCAAGTGCTTGCCTATCTAGTATAAAAAAAAAATTGCTATCATTTGCCCATAAGAAGCTGGTGAGGTGAAATTCAGACATTCGTGTTAGAAGATAAACAAACTTCAAACGTAGGGTTTTGTTGTGTAAGCATGAGTTATCTATAGCTCTGGTGAAATGTCAGAAATATCAATATGTTCACAATGGTACTTAGTTTTATCTGATTCCTTTGTAAATATGAAAAGTCAAGAGCATTGAAAACTTAAAAAAATCTCATCTTGAAATGTATGTTCTAAAAATAATACCACCCTGGCAAAGGTAAAAACTTAAACAGTCTTGTTGTGAAAAAAACGAGTCGCTCTCGGTTTCTGGAATCTTGATTTCACCTTATATAGAAAGTTATACAGGTTGAAATCTTTAAAGGATAGGCATCGTGCAGTGCTTTATCTAAGGACGACATTACGCTTAGCTATGTCGTATTTATCACGAGAAATAGTTTTCCGATATGTCAGTACTGGTTCCACATACACACGGGTTTCAATGAACTGAATGAAATCTATTCAATTCTGCGCACGGTGTCTAATTGTGTGACTCCTGAGATCTCGAAACTTATGTTTAGTTGTATTTAAGTTAAATATTGAATAAAGAACATATTTTTGGAGAAAGCGGTGTATTTGTGCCGATGGCATTCGTCAAATATACTACGAATTGACGCCAAAGCAAAAGCTATCTGGTGAAAAAGTAACACTTGAGGTTAGACTTGGCAGTGCTCTCGCGTGTTGTATGATCAGTCATCAACTATTTTATATGCACCCTTTCCACTTCCATTTGCAATGAGTTAGCAGTTTCCTCTTTCGATTTCCTTCCTCGAGCCAGAAAATTGCCCGTTAGCATAGAATACATTGCTGTGTATTTGAAAGAGATTGACAAGTATACAGTTTGATCGGAAACTTTCTCTGTGCGATTTCCAAATTAAAGATCCATCAGTCACTGAATTAAATCGTTTATTTATTCTGAATATCGTCATTTCTCATTCCGGGAGAAGAATATTCTGAGCTTTAATTGTACCATATCCCCTGGTTTATTTTCGTTTATCGTAGTCAATCGGTAAGGCATCAATTCTGTGATTCAATTACTCCTGACGGACTTTTAACCAATGGAGCACAACCAACTGCCTAATATAATTAAAGCTTGAATATTTAAGTAATGAGAATAAAGAAGTACCTGTATAATAAGTTAACCTTAATTTTTATTTTTACTGATAAAGAAGGAGCTATCTGTATCAGTTTACTGGGCACTCCATCCAGTTAACGGTGATAGAATCTTGCTTGCTTCGCTGACACGAATCGCAATTACCTAGATGTACCGTAACGTCCGTTTGACGTTAAGAATCTTGATGAAAAGTTTAAATAGCAATTAGAACAGAGAATTTTTCAAATTGGAAACTTTTGACCAAGTTTTTTTTTTTTCACTTAAAATATGCTTGCTATGTAATTGCTATCTTATCATCATCTACAAGAATGTCATAATGATTTGAAAATGAAAATACTTAAACAAACAAGAGAGATTAGGACTCGCCCGCCGAGGGTTCCGTACAAATTTGTCACAAATGATTTTGGAATCGAATAAACCTATTTTGCAATATGCCATCGAGACCTTTCATACCTCACTGGACCTGGCTTGATTTTAGTTTTTTCTAATTTTGACACTACATTATACTTATTATTTTATGTTATCAGATTTTCCCTTGAATTTGTATTATGATGACGTTAATTACCAAATTTCATAGATTGCTTTTTCTAACTTGCAATAACTTTTTAGCAAACCTATACCAATAACAGTGACGTGCCATTTTTGTTTTTACAGAGGCGTGATCATTGTTATATGTAAAATGCGAACGTGTGTCCGCCCAATCTATAAATATAATTATGTTTCTGTTAACTAATTAGGTTACGTTATGACTAAAACGGTGCTTCGAAGCGGGTGGTAATGTACCAAAATTATGGACTCCAGTTAGTCATTCATTCATTAGTGTTCACAAAGTAAGGTAATTTAATACGATGGAGAAAATAATTTGAAAATTTTATAGTTATTATAAAATATTGTTTTAAACATTACTTATTCTGTAATACTACATCGATTATAAATAATAGAAGGAAAATTGTTGAGTTGACATTGAACTTTATTTGGTAGGCCTCCCGTAATAGAATCGAAATAATCTGAAAATAATTAAAAATACTTTTAACTCTAACTTCATAAAAATCCATACTTTTTTGATTTCATATTTAAAAAAAGTCTACAAGCAAGACTATTTTTAGATTATCATGGGATACTCGTATGGAAATATTTTATAGATAGGATTTTGAATGAATTACTAAATCTGGTATGTCCTAGAAAGTTCGGGGTCATGGTGCGCGAAAATAATTCCTCGCGAGAATGTGATTCAAATTGCAAAAAATGTAAGGACAAGTGAAATGAAGCTAAAAACATTATATTATCACAAAATGAAAGGAAACCAACATTGGTAATGCTAGTCTTTTGCCGTGACTCCAGCTTTGTAAATTAAAGCTTATTTCACCCGCGTAGGAGTATCTTCCCTAGGTGAAATAGTTTTTGAAGTCTATTCAGTAGTTTTGGAGCCTCAATCAATTATTTCATCTTAATAATATTAAAGTAGACATTGCTAGAGACTAAACGAATTCAGAAAAAAGAAATCGACGTTTAACATTACCAATGCCAGTTTATTTTGTGATGTTATTGCTCTGATAATTTTCTGCTAATAACTATTTAAATTTTATAACTGAATTGTTATTTGATAAAGCATAAAGCAGTCTTTGTACATATTTTATTTTGATATCAGGTTAATTTTGTAGCCCCTATAAAAACGGCCCGTTCTCTTCGACAATGTAAATGGTGACAAAGATCTTTTGTCCGCCATAAGTGTCAGAATGAAACGGTTTATGCATTTTATTTGGGTGGTTTTTTAAACGATCAAGATAAAGCGTTAGTATCCGGAACTAACAGACTGACAAACAACATTTTATGTTTTAATTAACATGTTGTGTACCTGCTACTATGTATGTGAAAATGTTTTATTTATGTAGAACAAGTTTCCTTGTTATAAACTTAAATATTATACCTACCTAGGTATTATTACGTTCTAGAAAATACATGGTTACTTAAAATACTTATACAGCAGTGCCTTGATGTTTTTTTAGAAATGTCTGTCATATAGGAAATATACTCAATCCATGACTCAATCAACTATAATTAAAACGATTTTCATAAAAACCGAAAAATAGAGCTCGCTTCATGGTACATCTACTGCAGTCTACGTTATACAGTAAAGAACCGACAAGAAGACTTATTAATCGTGATTTTTTTTATTGAAGTACTTTTCAATTCCTAGAATAATTAGTAATATAAAATGTAGTCATTTATACAATACACATGTGGAACGAGGTTTTAAAAAATTACGATAAAACAAAGTAGCATCCCTATGTCTACGTCTATCTTACACAACGGATTTTAATCGGTTTCCATTAATATACAGAGTAATGTAAGAGGAAGGTTTAATGTGTGAGACCACATAGGCGAATCTACTGGCGGAAAGCTAATAATTATAAAATACATATAATTATTTTGAAGATCTGCCCTTTAAGCATTAGCGTAATCATAAACACACTTTATCTATGCCCCACTACTCATATGTTGATGTTTTATCACCTTGCATATACGGCAGTTAAGGAGGTACATTACCCTACATTCTGACGGGATTAAATGATCAAATGCAGTCAAGATAGGCGGCTGTGGAGCTATAACGGAGAATGTCAACTGGTGTGTTGAATTTATTTGAAATTTTGTGGTGAATAGGTATACCGATCGATTGTTACTTTGGTTAAACTTCAATTTCCTTATAACAAACGTCCGAGTAATACTTTTAAGATATTATTCGCACATTTTAGCTCTGCATAGTTAGAAATTACCAGTTTGTCATTTCCTCTCTCTGAGGCTTTTGAACTCCCGCAAACCATGAAACTAATTTTGATGTGGTTTTCACTGTGAATAGGAAGTTCCATAATGCAGATCAAATGAAGCGGGGGTCGCTGTTGTATTGTATATTAATACATATTAATTATATCAAAAAGAGGTTTTCGAGTATTATGTTAACTTGAAAGAAAGTAATGTCTAAACATTATTAATTTTAAAAGTCTAATGTGCCGTATTAAAGATAAAGCCGTGTAAAATTCTATACTAACAAAGGATTAACAGAATGTTATGCTAATTCAATAATGTGTAAAGTAATGAATCACTTGTATTCACTTGGTAGAGATGTGCATTTCCTGCATCACGTAATTATTTGAATTAAGCAATGTAGTATGGTGTGGTTGTTTGCGTTCGTGTTTCTGACTCAGAATTCTACCAGTAGTTGACTAATTGGTCACATGACATCGTCGACATGGTGACATACCTTAATTAAATGAATAAATTAGGTTAATTATAAGAAAGTCACGACCTAAGTGAACCCGCAGTTATGAATAAGCTCATTGGTTTTGCTTATTTCCAATATAGAGTTAACTAACACTTTATTGCCCATTTAAGTGTATAAAAAAATATTAGTGCAAAAATTTAGGCTTTTACTTATAAATAGAAAAATAAAGTAGGAAACGGTAACTAAGATATTTCAACCTGAGAGAAATCTAAGTTACGTTTAGAAATTCAAAAGATATTTTGAATGGCTTGTAAAGCTATTAATTTATTCCTAGGTAATTAAATGGAAAAATATGGCTTCCATTATTTACATTTCATTTTGTATTCTCAAAATTTATATGTGGAGCATTTCTTAATTTCATAGCTTATAAACGGAATAAGTTAATTATGTAATGTTGTCTATATTTTAATTTGTTTATTTGTTTGTTTCAGATAGTGCATCCACAGATTTTAGTAGACATAGAATTGTACAACCGACTATTCATCATGGCAGAACTAAAAGGGAAATCTCTACAACTAGAGAAAAGGTACGGAGGCACAAATACATGAATTTTTGCATAATGCTCAGGCGAATAAGCCGTATCTACATGATTGCGACTATCGCAAGTAACGTTTAATACTTCCACTCTTCCTGACTAACATCCGTAACGAATACATATATATTGGTAAAATAGGTCTACTTTATGTTTATGTGTTTTAAAACTAAGTTTCGTATGGCAATTTTGAATTCCACTGAAATCAACAAGGTGTTTGATAACGTTGCGAAATCAACAGAATACTCTTTTTCACTGGAGCGTTGCAATAATTGCTTTGCGAATTGTTTATCGCAGAAATATAATTTAGAATCGGTAACAGTGAAATATCTGGTATTATCCGAAGTACATGTTACCTCATCTGAACGTATTACTCGATGATTGCAAACAGTCGATAACTTACATTACTTTTCCGATATTGTTTATAGTACACTTCGAAATCAATATTTTACTTTCAAGTGAATTACGTGAAGTTAACTCTTTTAGAAAGTAATGGCATTAGGGGACCGGCATTAAGATGGGTTGCATCATATTTGGAAAACAGAACACAAAGAGTAGAGATAACTCAACTTGATACAACACACACAACCCAAATTTATAAATCGGAATTAAAACAAAATAAATTTGGAGTACCTCAAGGCAGTGTGCTGGGCCCTCTGCTGTTTGTTTTATATATTAATGATTTATTGGACATAAGTGAACAAAAGATTATATTGTTTGCTGATGATATATCAGTTATAGTGACTACACATAAAAATTTGACATTGGAACAACATAAAAGTGATATAACGAGTACATTGACATTAATAATGAACTGGCTACAAGACAATAATCTAAAAATTAATTTATCAAAAACAAACATAATGAATTTTAATAATTTAAAAAGACAGGCAGTTGACATCTATTTTAACGGACATACCTTAACAAATTCTAAAACCGCCACGTTTTTGGGTATTGTTATGGACACAAATCTGTCCTGGAAGGAGCAGATACAAAAAAACCGTAATAAAATAAGCGGATTTACATTTGCTCTGTATAAACTGTGTAGGGTGGCTAGTATAAGTGCAGCTGTTATGGCCTATTTTGCGTATGTTGAATCTATTATTAGATATGGCCTGGTAATATATGGGAATGGCACAGATATAAAGGAATTATTTATTGCACAAAAGAGATGTATCAGGTCGATTTGTAACATAGCACCAGACGTATCATGTAAACCCTATTTCAAATCTTTGAACATTTTAACTTTGCCAAATCTTTACATTTTTGAGGTAGCAGTATTTGTTCATCAGAATATTCAAAAGTTTACAAAGGTGTGCGATATATCCGAAAGGTCGAGGCGCCATCCCCATAGACTAGTATTGGAAACTGTCCCAAAAACAAAACGATTCTTAAAGAATTGTACCTCTATGTGCCAAAATATATACAATAAAATACCATTACAATTTAAAGCCCTCCCTATGAAGCAATTCAAAACATTGTTACGTCGAAGGCTGTTGAACCATACCTTCTATAAAGTGGAAGATTTTTTAAATCACAAGGAATAGCATAGTTGTGGTCGATGCAGAGTTTAATTAAATGTTCTAGTAGTTTTTAATTATGTAAAAGTTGACAATTCACAAAATTATTTCAATAAATGTAATTAAATTAAAAATGTTTAGTATCTTAATTAATATTTAAAATGGACATTGTTTTGTAATCCAGTTGAACTGACATTTGCATGCTAATGAAATAATATGGCTAAATAGGTCTAAGTACGTTATTGAGGACAACTATCCACTTCATTGTAACCTACCCTATTTATAGCAAATAAAGAATTATTATTATTATTATTATTAGACGAAGAAAACGCCGTTGTTATAGTGAAATACAACTTCATTTGAACCATAGCACCAACCTGCTTAGACACATTAGTGTTTGTGGTGAAACCTCAGTGGTTAAATGACCATGAATACACTTCATCGTTCCGCAGTTTCAAGTGCAGGGTTTAAGACACTTGATATTCGATATTAGTTATGTCTTACTTTCATGATGACATTTTCATGGGGTTGCAAATGTTTCGAAAATTGTATTATACAGTAGTATAATACAATTTTCGAAACATTTAAGTAGATTTCATTAATAGAAAAATTCCCGTAAGTTATAATTATTATCCAAAATATACTCTAATTAGGATAGAAGTAGATGCATTGTTGCTCGTTTTTATTTGATGGATTTCAATACATAAACCTTCAACATAAAAAAAATCAAAAGAGCATATCTTAAAACAATGGTTATTCAGAAGTAGAATTGACAATCACAGTACTGGTCATGATTCATCTTCAGCTACAACATTTACCAAAATGTGAGTAACGTCACAACATACAATTACGACGAGTACCTACCTACTTTCATCTAATCAATATGTACCAAAGAAAAAACGAGGACTCTTTGATTCGAAGTCGAGAATTGCCATCTAAACATTAAATACATATGTATTTACTATTTCAGACTGGAGCACATCATTCAGACGTGACCGTTCGGGTCCAGATAGACGACGAGGAATATGTCCTGGACCTACGGCTCAACGAAGGCTTGCTGACGGAAGGTCATGCACTCCAATATCAGAAGAATGGGAAGACTGTACTACATAAACCTAAGAAAAAGGTATGATCATATGACTAAGGATTAGATGTTTAAAACATATAGGTATTTATATAACTTAGGAATCTTTGATGTTGCTCTTCTGATGAGTAAAGGCAAATGTAAAATTAATATGTCACATTAAATTGATACAATAATGTACAGAAAAAAATGATAAGTTTTCATCGAAACATGTCATAATAAATATGGATTAGTTAAAGGGCAAGAAATCCAATTAAAGAAAATTATATGGAGCAGAATTGTGAATATTCTGATAGATAATAATGTAAAATGCCTAAAAAACCACTCCGTCCCTAGCACTCTGAGATGGGAATCGAACCCACAATCCGGGATGAGCAGACGCCCGGATTGCCAAAGGTCGTTTAAACTTTTTATTATTTTTCAGTATAGCATTGTGAATGCAAAATTGATAAAATATAATAATGTTCTGATAGTTGAATGTAATGATGAGAATGTATATAAGGTAAGCAATGAGTAATGAATAAGAGGAAGTTTGAAATGGTTCTAGTGACTGAAAAGCAAAAATCCTCTCCCTTGGTTTGGAACTGAGATGATAAGATAGATGAAGCGTATGTTACTAAGAAGGCAATAAAATCTGCATCTTCGGTATCGTCTTGCTAGACGAAGGTCGTTGAAAAGATGAATATAATGCGTATCCTGTATTTAAATGGTCAGATGACAGCTGATTTCTGTCAGCCGCTTGGAAAAAACATTCTTTTGCCAACCCCGAATATAATAAAGCTGTCTGAGAAAATCTATTGAATGCCGGAATTGTAAAAACTAAATTAAAAACCAAAATACGTTTGAATTACAGTAGGTTTACACAGGCAGCAGTAGCTATTTATACTTTGTTATATTTCTTCCAGGATTTGCAGTTGTGTCAATATTCCGGTATTGTGAGAGGCAAACCTGGTTCTTGGGTTGCCGTCTCAACGTGCAAGGGTTTAAGGGGGGTAATTTACGATGGCCAACGGATGAGATACATCCAACCTGTTAAAGGTATGTATGAAATAATTTATCTAAGTTTCATAACTTAGTACTTTTCATATAGTCAAACAACTATTTTACATGTAAGACTATGAGATATATTTCCTTGCCTTAATTTTTAAAGCTAGCAAAAATCATAAAAAATATTATATAAAAAAATATGATAAATTTAGTATAACTGTGATATTTAAACTTTATGATTTTTTCTAGGCAATGAAATTCAATCGGATCATTACATATACGACCACTCGGACCTGACTGCGAATCATCGGTGTGGATACGGAGGAGGAGTAACGAAGAACGAAAGCTACGATCCACTTCTAATGAAAAAATATCAAGCCCAACAGCTATCTAAACGCAGCAGGATATCTCGGGTCAGTTAACTATTTGTTTGTTATATGATTTATTAGATAGTAAAGGTTAACTGTTAACCGTTTACAATAGGCCTACATCGTCATCGGAGATTTTATACCTATACATCTGGCATTAAACAAATTGCTTCTGATTGTAGTACAAACGCGATGCGGACGACATTCAAGTTCGTGGGCCTTACAACGAGAACAAGCTCACTAGATATGTCGAATTGGTCCTCGTATCAGACTACAGGGAGTTCAAGGCTAATGGCGAGAGTATAGAGACCGTCCACCATCAGCTGAAGGATGTCGCTAATATTATTAACTCGGTAAGAATACAATTTATACTAGTCCTCACCGGAACATAGTTGTGTCACTTCATCATGTAACGGTCAATGATGCCTCGTTTTGAATGTATAAATATATTTTGTTAAAACACATCATTCCACAGGGATCTAAATTGGAGCCTATCCTTTTTAGTAAATCAGAAGTTTTGAAAATGCAAGTTTTTCGTCGTTGTATCCGTATTTTTATAATACAAAAATTGGTCAATAATAGAGGGAAATTTCCTTCATTTCCCTATCTATAAATTATCTATTTACTTACATTTAAAAAAATCAATAATTTCAATTATTTCAGGTATACGCTCCCTTGAATATCTTTATAGCTCTAGTAGGGGTGGTAGTCTGGAATGAGAGGGATGAGATACAGTTAGTCGAAAATGGTGACGAGACACTGAACAACTTCCTCTTGTACAGAAGACAGACGCTGCTCGCAGACATACCCAATGATAATGCGCATTTGATCACGTGAGTGTTTAAACCTTGTGGCTTTATTGATTTAATTGGTAGCAATGGAATCGAATGAGCGAACAAATAGCGATAGAAATCATTTATCAACAATTTTTTTACAGTTTATTTTATCTTAATTTGGTGGGTCGAATCTAAAAATTGAAATTGCACGACCTTCTCACTGTACAATTAACTTTGACTTCGGTACACACCTTTAGTTTCGATGACAATGCACATACGATATTTTAGTAAGAAATTCTCCCCAAAGTTAAGCAAATTCTCTATAATTCAGTGTTTCGTTATTAGGCGCAAAACGAGTTTAAACATAAAGTTTTCGATATTTGTTAATTCCCTAGAGATCAATTTTGACAGCTCTGTAAGTGTCTTAATACTTTGCGATTGCTATTAATGTCGAGACTGCATATCCAAGTCATCTTGTGATTAATTTGTAATATTATTAAAATTTTTCAGCCGTCAAAAATTCCGTGAGGGTGTAGTGGGTAAAGCGTTGAAGGGTCCGATCTGTACTTATGAATTTTCTGGTGGAGTGGCTACCAATCATTCGGAGGTTATCGGTCTCGTGGCGACCACTATAGCTCACGAGATGGGTCATAACTTCGGCATGGAACACGATACGGAACAGGATTGCGAATGCCCAGATGATAAATGTATTATGAGTCCATCGAGTACTTCAGTCACACCGGTGCATTGGTCCTCGTGCAGTCTCAAGTCTCTAGCGTTAGCTTTTGAAAGAGGAATGGATTATTGTTTACGGTGAGTTATTTATACAGTATAAATCAGGGTTCGCTGATTAATATCAACGGATATAAGTCGACTGATATATACATCGATATATATAAATAAATATTTATAATATTTATTGTAATAATTAATCTAATAAATAATTATAATATTTATTGTTAGTTTGAGTATTGAGTCTCAGCTAGAAAATTAACCAACCCAATGTGACGCTTGCAACATTGGCCCGAAGTAGCAATCTTACTTACTAGACATTTCGGCACTTCCCCGTAATTTAAACACGAAGTGCGAACGATTAGTATATTTATTTTTCTTAAAATTTAATTTTCACGTAATAAGGTTTATTATAGTAAGTAGGTGATAAGTCAGGTATACGTAACTGTGAATCCTCGTACGCATACTACTTTTTTATATCTTTTATAATAAATAAACATATAATAAATCTATAAACCTAAATTTTTTTATTACACTTTTGATTTAAAAGATCGAATATTAAATAAATGCAACTTAAAAATCACATCTTTTCGTATGCATGATATATATCGAATAAATATCAAATATCGGATATTTATTATAAAGCTTGGTATAAATATTCTAATCAAGCTTTTTACTAACTGTTATGTATGTGCAAGTTTGGATTGTTCTTATCTTTATCTAAAAACGACTTAATAGATTGTAACGAAATTAGGTATGCAGACTGATCATATTTATAATAAGTATTATTAGTTTTATAATAAGTATTTTAAATATTTGAATCTAATTCTTACATCGATTATGTACATTGTACCAAAAATACTAGCAATTATACTTAATATTTAATGTTTTAAATAAATAAAAAATAATTTTTGTACGGCGCAAGTGGTTTTTTGTATAAAATAATACGAGTATTGAACAAGAGCCATTTTTCTACATCCAATTATGTATTAAAAAGTTTAGATGGTTTATCTGCGCACTACATTGACAACAAAAAAGCAAGGCAATGTCTGAGATTTACTTTAGTAATGTCTTTAAACGCAATCTATTTTTAAACGCAATAATGTACGCGCACGACGTTTCTAATATATCCTTGATGGCTGTCTAAAAATTTTCACCGTTCGATTAACTGATTAGCTCCCATCAAAAATTCTTCGTCCAACAAATATAAAATGTATCTTGTGTATGGAGAAACCCAGCCAATACAAAATTTTATCTCAATTCCAAGCAATCAAGAATAGTCTTAATTTATAAATCTTTGTTCTCTATATAAATGCTATTTGTATTACCTTTAACAATGTAAAGTTTAACTTTTATATTGTTTTATGTATTATCCCAAATTCAAAATTGTCATATTTTTATTATTGTTTCTTTACGTGTAAAGACCACAAACGTGACATTGGCGGAATTGTGTAAACACAAATAGGCCATGAATTAAAAAATAAAAGAAGATCTACCGACTGCTCGTTTGTAGGTAGTACAGTGATTAATAAAACGAACGACCCACAGGAACAAACCGAAGCGTCTGTTCGACTCGCCGACGTGCGGCAACGGTTTCGTGGAGGCCGGCGAGCAGTGCGACTGCGGCATCAGCGTGGACGACGGGCGGGACCCGTGCCGCGGCTGCTGCCACCCGGACACCTGCATGCTGCGCGCCAACGCCACCTGCGCCGCCGGCACCTGCTGCGACCTGCAGGTAATGCGGCGGGATTTTTAATCGACTACAAAAAAGGAGGTTCTCTGTTTGACCTGTATGTGTGTTTGGCTGAACCGATTTTGATGCGCTTTTTAGCATGTTATTTGTCAGACTTGCTGCACAAACGTCCATTGAAATTGACATTAGTTTAAAATGGCATTATCCTACCAATTTGACATTAATTAGAGCTTAAAGGCGTCATTTAACTGAGAAGGTTTTAGATATATTAACAAAAAAGATGGAGGGTATGGAGATGTTTTTTTTTAATCATACAGTTTTGTTGAATTTCTTTAGGTGTCTTTCTCTAGCTTCAAATGAGTAGCAATCGGTTATTACTGCGGCCCGCGAATGTTATTGTTAAGCAACCTTTTCAAGTGTCGGTCACGAGATGGGTGACCAAAAAATTCTTTTGAGCTACTCCGTGCTTCGGAAAGCACATTAAGCCGTTGGTCTCGGTTGCCAGTCGTTAATACCCTCTTATCCGCATTGGGCCAGCGTGGAGGGTCATAGCCTATCCTCCTTAACCATCCATAAAGAAGGCCTGACCCCTGCAGTCGGCAAAAAATAGTTCTAACACGTTGTCTCCTTGCTGTCTACATATTTATAAATAACCCGTACACATAAATGTAGCTCGGAAATTAAAGAATGAGAATAATATTTTGATGTGTGTTTTATCTTTAAGACTTATAATTAGCTCTCATATCATATGTTAATCGTTGCTGCTTTAACCAGGCGATACAGTTTGCAAGGCGCTTACATTTTTTATTTTAATGGAAGTACAAATTTATATCAAAATACTTATCAATCTTTACTATAACTACGTAGACCTGTCGACCTAAGGCGGCGGGCACAGTGTGCCGCGGCGCGGATCGGGAATGCGACTTGCCAGAATACTGTACAGGTTACTCGGAATACTGTCCGGCTGACGTACACAAGATGGATGCCAGTCCTTGTAGTGATAACCAGGTATTAATTGGTTACTTTACTTCATTAAAAGCTAGTATGTTCATATATTTCATATGAGAATGACATTTAGTTAACCTTTAGTATTTACCGTGTCGACTTTGCTTTTTTTATGTAGAATAAAATACACGTTTATCCATTCTTCTTTGTTCCAAGTTTCTTTGTTTGGATGTTTGTCCAAACAAAGAAATCACGCCGAAACTACTGAACGGATTTTGATGAAATTTGGTATACAGATAGGGTATTAACTGACTGACATAATAGGATATTTTTATCTCACTAAACATTTCCCTATGGACCATACGGGCGATAGCTAGCCTTTAAATAATTGTTGGTAAGCAGATCTCTGTTAGTAGGGCAGGAAGTTCTATACGAAGCACAGTCGGTACAAAGTCCACGATGTATATTCTCACATGCAGCCGCGTGTATGTAGTTTATACTTTTTTATACGATATTTATATAAATATACTATTTGATTTCTTATATTTATATTGGCATATTCCTAGTTTAAATTGCTCTAGTAAAGTTGTCGTACAAGACAACTCGTTTCTGTTCTACTATCTCAGGTTTCCCTAATATTAATTACGATTACTGTATTAAAAAGTTCGGTTTCTACATCAAATCTAATTTCGAATCTACAGCGATGTCGCCGCGACTGTTCGGTCGACAATGTCTTGTCAGCCAAACAATATTGAACTCTATTTCAGGCATATTGCGTGCGAGGGTCGTGTCGCTCCCACACAGACCAATGTCGCTTACTGTGGGGCACTACGGGTGAGAGTTCGCATGAGAAATGTTACACTAGCAACAATATAAAAGGGAACAAGTACGTATTTGTGAATTAAAACTTTAATGGTCGTTTACATTAGAATGATAGTTGATGACGGGATTGTTATCTTATATTTATATACAGGGGACTCGAATTATATAAAATACACGGTAGCAATCCCGTAATAAAAAACTGTATATATTATAATCTTGATTATATCTCTTCGGGAATTATTATGACGTAAACTAGACTGTAGAGTGACAAAGAATGCGTCCCCCCCCTACTCCAATTTTGCTGCGTTATTTTTTCATAAAAATAAGTTTATATACCCTATTACAACCTTATTTCTATATGAACATCCTAAGTTCAGTTTTAATAAAAAAATGTATGTATTAGCATATTGATAGAATTCACTCTTCTTCAAAATAGGAAAGTTCAGTAAAATAAAGTACAACGGAGTCGGCGATCTTTTACAATAATCATACATACGCTGCACTTCAGGTTACAACAATATGTCAAATTTCTGATGTTGATTTTAGACTCTACCTTCGAAATGAAATGAAAATATCTTTATTCAAGTAGGCTATTACAAGCACTTTTGAATCTTCCAAAAAAACTTTTTTTCCCTACCACTTGTTCAGGACGTCTTTTAGCTGACAAGAAGAACAAGCGAAAGAAACTTATCAGCTTTTTATCATAAGTAATGAAAATAATATGTATTATCAATTTATCACAATAGTAAATACAACTTTCAAAGTCTGTAGGACATAAGTTGAACATATAATTAGTCTTTATAGAACAAAGCGAAGGCTATTAATTCCATGCATTGCGATCCTTAAAGTAATCATCAACTTTATAATAGCCTTTACTCATAAGTATATTCTTTACATGAATTTGAAATTTATTTATGGGTAGGTCAATTACATTTTGTGGAACTTTATTGAACATAGCAATACATTTACCCAGAAATGATCCTCTGGTTTTTTGAAGTCTGAAGCTTGGAACGGCAAGTTTATCTTTATTTCTTGTGTTAAGATTATGAACACTACTTTTTTTTGTGAAGGAATCGTAATGTTTTCTTGTGTACATAATATTCTCATAGATGTATTGAGAGGCAACAGTCAGAATATTTATTTCTTTAAATAGTTCTCTGAGAGATTCCCTAGACCGTAAATTATATATAGCACGGACAGCTCTCTTTTGCAAAATAAAATCATCCTGAATGCTAGCCGCAGAACCCCATAACAATATACCATACGTCATTACACTATGAAAATAACTAAAATATACCAATCTTGCCGTTTCAACATTTGTCAAGAGTCTAATTTTCTTAACAGCAAAAGCTGCAGAACTCAGTCTACTTGACAAGCTATCAATATGAGGATCCCATTGCAGTCGGGAATCTAGTGTAATACCAAGGAACTTTGTCGATTCTACTAACTCAACGTTTTCACTATTTACATTTATAAGTGTACTGACATGCCTCACATTAGGTAATGCAAACTTTATGCATTTCGTTTTATTTGAATTGAGCTTTAAATTATTATTATCAAACCACTGTAGAACGTTGTCGAGAGCATTATTTACATCGTCAAAACAATCATTACCCGTCTCAACTTTAAACAGTAAAGAGGTGTCATCTGCAAATAATACTGTCTCGCACAAATTCTTCGTAAAGTGAGGAAGAACCATATGGTTTAGAATCAAGTGGCGAAATCTAACACATCTATATAACCTAATATACTGTTGACTGTACAATAATGTTCTGCGATAGGAACGGCAACTGTGGTTATTCTCGCACGCAGCAGATGTATAGACAGTGTTCAATTGAAGATTCTCTGTGCGGGATGTTGCACTGTCGACATCTCAACGAACGTCTGGAGTTCGGTTTGGAGAGCGTCGCCCAACTGTCCGCTGTGTTCATCAACAATAACGGTCAGTGTACAGTAATGCACCCTCTACACATTACACAACATTGTGTTAATGACATTTTTTTTTTCAAAAATATTTAAAAATGAAAAGATTAAATTATATTTTATTGATTTTGAAATTTTTGTTTTGAATTCTGCGCAAAAGGACTATGCGTAGCCATATTGTCAGCCATTTTAACTAAAATATAACACTAGTGCAGTTTAATGACAATACTAATAAACACGAGTTTCGTAATTTACAACTTTTTATACTTTGAGGAGTTCACAATTTCTTCATTTTTCAATATTTTACGATGCGGTTTTGATAATTACACTAACATCTGACACTGATATGACGTCACGCGCTTTGATTTTTTTGAAGTCACGTGATACGTAGCTCAAAAATAGTGATTTTATTTTGCAAAAATATACGTAATCTAACCTTATTGTTAATATAAACCTTATTATTGGAAATTACTTCAGTTGTAATTTTGAATATCTTTAACATAAGTTTCATATTTAATAATTGTCAATAACCATATTACCCATTACGTGTGGGTGCCATTACAATCTATCCATAACATTCGCCACAATAGTCTGGCTAATATATAGAGCTGGCATAAAACACAACCAATATTATTCACCGGTACTTGTGCAGATTATTAAATTTAATCTCTTTCAGTACTATTAATACACAAGGTTTAGAATAAATTTATGCTAAAATTGCAATTTTAGTATTAGTCTAATTCATATTATACAAAGAATAAGCAAACTTACTACCTTCTAGGAGTAATTATTACTTCCGTAGAACCTCGTACTAGGTTAACCTTTGCTAAGTCTCTTTTTAATAACATGCATTTTGACTAATACTAAGTGCAGTCTTAGCGTAAATTTACTCCAACCCTAAACTTTGTTTGAGTGTGACCGTATAGGGTGGATTTTAGGCCCTAAGGACATTAAAACAAAACCTATTATAAATTTAATTATATTTTTCGTTCATCATTGTTTTAAGCGTTCTACCAGATAAGAAAAATGAATCTCATGTGTATTGTTATAGGGACTATAATTCCATGTCGCACCGCCATTATAGACTTGGGGTTGAGTGATGTAGACCCGGGTATGGTCCCCGATGGGGCCAAGTGTGGTACAAACAAGGTAATTATTTAACATAATGTAGATAAATTGTAAAATAATATTAAGTACATGAATAGAAGGATAGAATCTAGGAGTGGCTAGAGCTTATCATGATGTGTAAATATTAGTAATGGTCAAACTAAAAGATATACGTAGACCTAATCTATTTTCCAGAATATACTATAATATTTGTACGAATTAATATGATTATCAAAGTTCGAAGTGGTTTCACTTTTTGTTAATTATGCTTTACTTTTTAGTTAAATCCAAAATTATAAAGAATGAGTTTCTTAAAATGCGCGATGGTACTTTATCAAATTATAAAAAAGAGAATATTATCTATTATAAAATCATATATACTCCATTTACTATATCATTAAACAGAAGTTAATTATGGTTCTTTCGAGGGTACACTTTGTAACCAAATATATAATTATATTAATCTTCAATATGATGCCTAATTTACTATATATCAATTTATTTACCAACTATCATACTTAACTTTCATCGTTTTAGCGATCTATCAAATAAATTTATGGGTATTTGATTAAAATAAACTATTGATGTAAAAAGTGTCTTATCTTTAAGAACCTAAAGAAGCAGGGGTGGATAGTTTCGGCAAGTTTCTCATATCACTATAACTCTACTGGTTTTAAAATGTTGCCTAATCCCTTCATACCTTTCCACAACACAGCGTTTTAATTTTGTCGATATTTAATGTCTATGTTTAATTACGATGTTCATTTTAGTTTTTGTGCAATTTCGTGACTTAGTTTCCTCTGCCGAAACTATACAGCTTTTTAATTTTGTCAATATATAATCTTTATTAATTACGATGTTCATTTTAGTTTTTGTGCAATTTCGTGACTTAGTTTCCACTACCGAAACTATATATGAGTGTATATTGTCGTCAGATGTGTTTGAATCAGCGTTGCGTGAGCGTAGAGTCGGTGCAGGCGATGATGTCGCGGCGGCCGACCTCCGACTGTCCCTCCAACTGTTCAGGACACGGCGTCTGCAACTCTGAAGGTGACACAGCCGTATTCACTCTCATAATATATATACCTTGGACCCTAGGGAACTGTTTGGATATCGATTCACATCATGCAACGCTATAATTCCATATACCCATTACAATTCCTTTATTTGCTGTTTTTCCCTTAGATAAAAGACTTAAAAAAATGGTCTAGTGGCTTTTAAAATTCGAGAACGGCTTGACTGATTTTTATGATACATATTTGCGCTTTTGGATTTGTCTTCTTCGGGAAAAAGTCTTAAAATAATATAATAAAAATAAATATTATAAAATCTCAAAAATATGATAATAATGATAATGATAATAATAATAATGATTTGTCATAATAAAACGCAACTGACAGTTCACATAATGTTCCCTATGTCTATGGTTTATGTTAGGCGGAACCAAGAAGATTAAATATTTTGGAACAAATTTAAATCTTATAATAACCAATAAGAAATTTTATCTTCAGAAAAACTTAACAATTTATCGTACTTGACTGTACCATATCCTCACAGACACAAATAATTATGATACAATGTCTGTTTGTTTATTAGGTCACTGTCACTGCGAGGCCGGATTCGCCCCGCCACTGTGTGCTCTGCCCGGACCAGGCGGATCATACGACTCCGGTCCGGCTACTGATCTTAGCGGTAATAAATATATATATTATACTAGCTATCTTCCTGCGACTTCGCCTATAGCGCCCGCGTATGATGTAGCTTCCCGTAGGTGAAAGAAATGTCATGATCGGATCATTATCTTGAAATAAACTTACAGCTAGTTGCACAAATGTACATTAAAAAATCATTAGTTTAATGTGGCATTGCCCAAATAAATTTGACATTCATTAGAGGATAAAGGCTTCATGAAACCTTAATGGACGTTTGTGCAACAGACCGTTAAAAACTTAATCCGATATTTAATATGAACAATTATAATTATTCATTCAAAATAGTCGGTATCTATTATTATGTTTTACGTTTCCACGGCTCAGGTCTTTCTTATGAATGGTCAAGCTAAAATCAATCGATTTACAAGGTTTCCCATCAACATTTCGCCTCAAAAAATAAAAGGAATGTTTCACTTAAAGGAAAAAAAACTGGTTATTTTAAGCAATCACAACTTTAATCTGAAGATCTACTTAAAACCAAACATCGTAATTTTAAAATCCGAATATTCAACATTTATTAATTAATATTTATGTTTGTTCACAGTACAAAGAAACTTCATGGTGGCGATGTATATCATATTCCTGGGCATCATACCGCTGATACTCCTCATCATGTTCCTGGGTTACTACTCGAGGCACAACGTGTTGTTCTGGTGGAAGAAACCGAGGAAATCGTACGTACAAAACCTCGTCAGCAACGTCCGCTCACTCGTACACAAACCGAAAATAAATCTACCCACAATACATCATAATCTACCCCTAAGAAACTTAATGTCTAAAACCAACACAGTCAATAACTCTCAAGTCGAATTGACCACCGAAAATACAAAAGCGAAATCGAAATCGTTTTACAATAGAATTTTACATTTCACCGAAAAAAATGAAAGTAAGAAACCGCTAAAAAAATTGGATAGAAAAATCAACAAGGACGATATTAAAATCGCGAACGATAATGATAGTCTTGTGAAACCGAAAATTGCGGAGAAACCAAATTTGAAACCTAAGCCTAAGGAACTTAAACCTTCCGTCACTATAGTTAAGACCGGTTTAGCGTCGACTACCAATGAAATGATAGTGCATCCTAACAGGTCTCGTTTGCACAGTATTAAGAGAGACTCGTCTAATGATAATTCTTGTTAAAAAATACAAAATAAATAGACAGTAATATATACAAATAGTAATAGCTTTAGTGATATATTTGGAATTAATATATAAGCATATAATAACTTTTAGTGTTAAAGTAAAATAATTTTTAAATCATAATATTTTCTAACATAAATGTATTAAATTTTACGGCTTTAAAAAAAAATTTACACCAAATATATGTTAAAATAATTTATAAATTCTTCTGAGACATTTGAAAAGTAATATATTATTGCAATATGATAAATATTAACCTACCAATCGTTACAGTAGATATTTAAAATAATCAATAAGGTTCTATTTTTTTTTTCTGTCTTCCTTATGTCCTACCATTTTAATGATACATCATGTCAACATATTACTTATAACTCGTACGAATTAACGTGTGAGGGACAATTCTATTTGGCCGCGAAAGAAAATCCGCAGAATTTTAAATCATTCTTATAATTTTGTTAAAGGCGTATCCGTGAAAATTATTTGTGCATCGGGGGCAGTGTCACGTTCCTACGTTGCAAAGTCTCTTAGATGTGTTTTTTTTTTGATGTGATGTGATTAGCATTCCAAAATCGATATCGATAATAAAGAAATAGGATAGGCCTTCAAATGTCATGTCAATGACATTTTACCTTTTGAATATTCATTACCTGAACAATTTAAGATTTATGACATGTGTTTTTAGGGTTCCGCACTTCATAAGGAAAAAAGTGGAAGCCTTTCAGAATCAAATTAACTATTACGTATTAATTATTCCCCTCCCCCCCCCTCTCTCTTCTACAACATACTATACTTGTGATAATTCTTATACATATAGTTTTACAAAATACTTATACATATAGTTTTACACACGGGAGTAGTGAGGATAGTAAATGGTTTCAAGTCGACCTACCATATTATTGCAAAATAGTTTATATTTTCTAATAAATAAATAAAAGACGCACATTCTTGCATTACTTTATTTACGAATAAGGTGATTGAATAAGTTAAAAACTACTTGATCAAATGTTTGCAGTGTTGCTATAGTAAATTTTCATCTATAATATGCCCTATATTTGCATATTAAATTTAGAATTAATTATATAGCAACATTGTAGGCACTGTGTACGCATTTTTGATTTACTCTTAATTTGTTTTTTCATTGTTAATGTGAATGCTGTTAATGTATCTTGTTATTTTTATTATTTATAAGCCTCTCTTTCCGATTAAATTCTTTGTAGTAGTTTTCTTCTTCTTTTTCTAATCCTTCTAATATTTTTTTTTTCTATCACTTTCATGGGGTTATTTATAAGCGTTTTTTATTTAACTAAAGATGAAGTTTTAAAGCCAACCTAAAATAAAAACCGTGAAGAATTAATGATTTATGCAACAATACTATGTTTTGAGTTTCTAATTGTTGTAATAGTAACAATGAATTATAAGTAATAATTTGCTGTCTTCTTCTATCAGTTCTAAATCATCTTATAAACCTATTGAATTCTATAGAATTCTGTAATAATAAAATTTTAATAGTTTTTTCTTGGTATTTAGATGTAGTAATTTAGATACAAACGCTGTATAAATATACCTCTTAGCTTAATGTTGCCAGTTTAACGTTATTTTGTATATTATATAAATTTGAACTATATTATATGTTACGGTTGGGTAGTTTGGATTTTTATACCAAATAATTTTGATAGAAAAATAAACGTTTCACTGGTAACACTTATGCAACTATAGATGGTGTTTGGTATACGCTGTATATAACTTGGGTGAGTGGTTATTGTGTGTTTTTGCTTCTGCATGCTCTAGTTAAAGCTTCTAATGGTAACCATGTAGATATAAAAAAGGCGAAGATTAACGAAAAGGGGGCACTTTCATAATTTTCTTGCCAGTTTATATAATAATGACAAAATGGTAACAACAATGTAAGGATCGGTGCAATCTGATCGAAGACCCGTCTCTTACGGAGCGTGAGTCGGGTTATATGTCGAGTGTGCAAGGTTGTTCATATATCAGCTCTGACGTTCCTCATCTTCTCTCAGAAGTTGAATCTTAAAATACTTTGACAAACAAAAGTTTAAACTATTGCGCTTTGTTTGGAAAAGTAATTGTAAGTTTAATCTGACAGTCGTCACATCATGGCGGCTCGTGTTTCAAGTCACATGACACACAGACAAAAAATATCTACTTTTAAGATCATAATATCTGTTAATTTCAATGTAAATTTTTAAATTTTAGTTATTCTGATTTTTCACCACCGAAACGACCCTATTAGAAGTGCTTAAAACACAATATTTTTAAATTAAATATATAGTTAGAATACCTTTCTTCTTCAATCAAATGACGCGCTGAAACCGCCTGTTTTATTTGAGACCGCTTGACGGGACCGCTTGTATTATGAAGTTTAGATTTGCTACTTTGGCATGTAACATTTTGACTATGCATGCAGTATTGTATTAAATATCTCACTAACGTGCATGGCGTGTTTTACTAAAAATATATACATACATCAAAAAGAGAAACAACTGGATTTAACATAAACGGTGCTTCACTATCATATATCCATTATTTATAAGCCTATCTGTTCTATATTTCTCTCCGTATAATTTACAAATTTCATGTCAATCGGTCGTTCCGTTTAAAAGTCTTGTTTACAATGAATTTTTAACTTCCGCTAATATAGCACCCAATAATGTAATATAATTTGAAGTTATAGTGGTTTTTAAGTAGGTAAAAAATGGGGGCGTTTAAATTATTCTTATTTTCAAAGTGGGCAGTAGGCGACGTAAGTTAGGGAACCCCTGGTTCCAACATTACTAATACAAATTTTCTATTTAAGAAGATTCATTAGAGCTTATAGTCGTCATTAAACCTTAATAGACGTTTGTGCAACTTACCGTATATTAAGCGAACGCAATACCACAATGTTAATACTGTTTTATAATATTTTTATATGTAATCGTTCATTAAATTTATTATTTTTTCCAGGGTGCAGTCACCGAAGAAGGCAAGCTTTCAACAGCGCATTTCTCGTAGCGCCAGCAAGTTTGCCGCTAATTTCCAAAATAACGCGCAAAACAACGCACAGCCCGTCGTGCACACCCTATCAAATCCAGACGACATGAGCTCGAGCCTTCTCCGCAACGAGTCTGACCGAAGTCCCGCAGGTAACATCAATCCGTCAGTCAATTTCTTCGGCAACTTCAAAGGTTTCTCACTTACGCCGATGGACAAGAATCCGCCGGACCAAACGGAGACTAAGAAGACTTCGGACGCCAATAAAAGTGCTAAAATAACACCCGTCCACCGCAGCGGCAGCAACAGTCAGAACATCATCACCCAAGGAGTTCTAAAACCTGTTCTGAGAAGTGCACCACCTCTTCCTGTCGTACCGAATAACACTAAAACAAGTCCGACAGTCAAAAGGACTAACAGCTCTGTACAAAACAAAATCAAAGCGTTCATGAATACCGACAAAACGGAAGAGAGTCAGCCTGTGCAAGCGAGCCAACGTCCCGTCATATCGAGCCCTATACTCGAAGCGTCCACTTGTACAGCCAAAGAACTTATATCTCCTCTCCAAGGATCCAAAACTTTAGGGCCGATCAGATCTGCTCCGTCCGTTCCTGACGCGTCGCCTGCTCTACCGAAGAGACCTCTGAGCATGCATTCCCCGAACGCCCCCCAAAAACCTTTGCCTGAAGAACCGAAAAAAGTTAAAGAGGGCATATCTTTGAATCGTATTGCATCCTTCCTCAAGCAGGAGAAATCCAAAGAAAAGGAACGCCGTCCAGTAGAAAGGAGTCACTCTCTTCCTAAGAATCCGGTGCATCAAGTCAAAGTGCCCAAAGGAACCGATAAAGTCGCGTTAAGGAACCTGCAGATATCTAACCCCATACTCCAGAAAGAAATCGATTTGCCTGTCAATACGGTACCGGTCGTATCAGATTCGGAAGACGGCGAAGATCCGAAAGCGTTCGTCAATAGAGCACAAAGCATGAGATCTCCTGCACCTCATAAACCTGCGATACAGAGCTTCGGGTCCATGAGGCAAGCTCCGGGGGTTCCCCGCCCTCTTTCGGTGGTCGGCAGACCCACAGCCCCCCCTCCGCCGCTCCCCGCCAACGAAACCAACGAACCGTCCATATACCAAAATCCTAAACCGCAAAATGACAAAACCGTCGATTACGTAGATTGCATTGAAGAGAAACAAGTGCCCCTCGCTCATATCGACGAGGAGTCAAGTGATAACATCTACGCTATAATAGAAGAAAGTCCAGAAAAACACTCGAAACCACTACCTGGAGTTCCGCCTCCACCCGTAAAGACATTGCCCCAATCGCCTCCCGCAGGATACAACACTCCAAAACCGATCACTTCCAATTCAGGAAGCACGGAAAGCATGGGCCTTCTCGGCGAGATCGTCAACGAAATACAAAATCGAAATTTCGACTCTATTTATTCGTCGTTAACGCTGTCTAGAAAGAAGCAAGCGAAAGAAGATGCGAATAGAGACAGCACTTACATGAACACGGACAACTATAGGGCTTCGGATAGCGTTTATAGCAATTCCGGGGCTAAGTCCAACGCGTCTACCACGAGCAGCGGGTATTTGCATCCTTCCGCTGTTAACGTACCCACGTATATCAACAAAGATAAAACTGAAAGTAAAGATGAGCCGGAAAAGGCGCCACCATCGCCTACTTTAAAAGTGAATTCTAAAATCCCTACGTTCAGTAGGCAAGTCACCCCACCAAATTTAAAAAACACGAGTACGTTTAGAAACGTGCCGCAGTCGCCAAAGAATGCAAACAAGAACATAAACCTTAAACCTTTAACTAACAGTCCCGACGTCGTCTCCAGCTGTGCAATGGACACGAAAACAGTGAAACCGCCGGACGTGATAAACAATAATAAACAGAGTGACACTCCTAAAACACCTAAACCGGTCGTAGTGAGTAAACCTAATGACAACCGACCGCCGTTAAGGCCCGCGCCCACAATAGAAAAGAAGCCGACAGCGAAATCTGCGGTCGCTTCAAAACCTGTAATTTCTACTACGAACGTTAACAACAAACTTCCGCTGCAAACGGAGAAGAATCCCTTAAATCGCGTTAACTCGAAAGTTGATTCTAATGTAAAATCTATTGCGGACAACCTAAATAAGAATAAACCTAAAGTTGTGCCGAAACCGTCGACGTTAGTGCAAAGGACGGAGTCCAATGCGAAATCTAATTCGACCAAGCTCACGCCTAAACCCTCAAACGTGGCTAGTTTGCAGCAGAAATTCGAAAATAGAAAATCTTTGGGAAAAGAAATAGCTGTAAAGAAATAGTCGAAAATATTAGATCAATAATATAAAGGTAGTGAACTGATTCGGTACAGATGACTCTGTAAAGTCATTAACTTTTTCTATAAAGTATCGGCAAATCGAAAACATTAGGCCGATTATACTTCAAATTCTTGGCATTTTGTTCTCGAAAATGTTTGATAATTATTATTTGATAGTACAAGTCAAGAAGCACGTCAGGCTATATAAAACTGGCAAAATTATCCTTCACTTCACTGTATACCTTAATGTTTTGGAAGTAGAATTCAAAATCAATTGAGGAAATTTGACATATTGCTAGCCTGACGAGCATCCGTGTGTACATTATTGTACTACATATTTTTATTTAACAATTTCTATAGCCAGTGACAATGCAAAACTTGATGGGTAATATATAATTGAATAGAATAAAATGATAATTGATATCAAATGTTAATAAAATGACGAAATACGATACATTCTAGCTAATTAGCTAGATAAAAACTTTAATTTAATAATGTTCTAGTCGGTGAATATGTAAATGTCAACATTAGGTATCACATCTTTCCTAAACATTACCATTCACTATATAAGTATGATCTGAAATTTATAAAATTGTATTAATAATTTTTCCGAACCATAAATAAGTATAATTACGACTAAAAGTAGGTGTGAAGTGAAAATAAGATTGGCCGGGTAAACTTAGGTTAGGTAGTTTCATTTAAATAAAGAATTCTTTGATTTTGAATTAAACATTCAAACAATTATATTTAAAAAAAACTTTGCATTACATACGTCCAAATTTTTCGTTCCTTGAATGTTATATTTATTATAATGTTACTCATAATAATAAATGTGAATATTTTACACGGTCTAAATATTTTTGTAATCAAATTAAGCTATAAAAAATCAAATTAATATATAAAACAAAAATAAGCTATTGACATTTTCTTAAGAGTAAATCCGTTCATCTTTCATATTTTTTTCTATCGCGCTCACTTTTATGAGGACAAATTGAGATCTCAAAATACATTTAAAAGCCAAATGTAAATTTTTTGGTTAGTGGTTCGGCCAAATTATTAACTCAATCCATACTTCCGTCTATTATATGACGCATATAAAATAAAAGTGAAAATTAGAAAACTTAAGGTTAGCAGAAATTTTAAGCTGTTTTTGTAAAGACGGCTAAAATGCTATTTTTATTTCATGGGTTCATGGAATTAAGTGTTCATTACTGTTTCAATACTAATTAGATATAAGTTACACCATAATAATATAAATAAAGACCGAGATTAATGTTGTGTAATAAAATGTAATGTACACGTACAATAATAAAATGTACACGCGATAAATATTTTTATATTTATGTGTATTTGTTTTTTATTGAACATAGGGTCAATGCAGACGACGGAAAATTATTAAATTGTTAAATAATAAACTCTGCCTTTTTTGGGAACTTAGATACCTAATTTACAATAAAATTATATTTCGTTCCTTGATCGACAAGATTAATACTGGTGTCTGTCGTCTGTATGAAAAATATGTGACATAAATAGTGATATTCTTTGCATTATTTACTGAAAAGAGAAAATTGAATGATTATTAAATAATTAGATTGTGTATTTTTGTGATGAACTATAAAACATAACAAAATTAATATGATAGTTATTTTTTTAATTGTCCGTAATAAGTGATAATAGAATTGCCCGTAGTATATTTTGTCGACAGATAAAGTAAAGCCTACTTTCATCGTTTTTTGAATAATTGAGTGCAAACCAGATAAGAATAAAATAAATAGATAATATGCAATAGATCTCTGTAAATAATTATCTTAAATTTCTTTAGTTTTATCCGATCAAAATGTAGATTCTTGAAAAAAATCTCTTTTTTGTATTTTTATAAGATAAAAATAAAAAGATACCTACCTATACTTAGTTAATATCTTGAGGGTTTTGTAAAATATAGTTGTAAGTTGTGTGAAGCTTATTATTTAATATAGTATCAGTTTAAGTTCAGCAATCTGACAGGACTATTTATACATGTACAGTAAGATACAACTGATGTGGCTCTCTGATGTACCTGCGCAAAAGGGTAAATCCGAAGGGCGGCAAATGTCTCGACCAATCAGAATGATTCAAGTATCACAACACCGGGCGATCCACCAATATTATGACGCCCACTGAGTGGGGAAGGAACTTAATGTGTTGTATTTTATGTCTATCTACTCAAGACTCACTCTATACATTTTAGTCGTACGTTCAATTTGCTCTGCGCATACAAAGATCCACCATGGAGCCACATTAGTTGGAACTTACTGTAACTGTTTTATTACCAACATGTTTATAGGTGCTAAAGCCAAGCTATGTGCTTTATTCGTAAATAGCAGAATTACATCGTATATGAAATATTTTTGTATAGAAGATTATCTGTTTATGTGAAATAATTATTTTATTCTGATTCATCCATGAATGCATAATATTCGTCCATTAAACGGTTATCCCACTGCCAGCTAGGTACAAACTTATGGTGCTGTTAAGTCACAATCGCAATTTTAGCTACATCGGAGTGAAAATAGATTCATATGGAATTTTGGAACCACTTACCGAAGCCATATAATACTGTTTTTGACATAAATTACTTTCATTCAGTACACGATCCTTGTCTAATGGCAAATTTGATTTTAAAAACTTTCCTAATAACAATCTAGGCGTATTTTTATAAAGACTGATTCTGTGAGATTTTGTTTCGTCGTCATTATTGTAAATTTTTATCTAAATTGTAACTTTTTTGTATGGGAAATGTGTTGTCATCTTTTGCATTTATTTCTTTATCAAAATATTTTATCTGTAACACATTTAAATATTGTTTTTCTTTTACGAGGTTATGTGTATTCTAAAGTGCTTTTACTATGCCAGTGCTACCGCTGGATTTAAATGTGATAGCCAATATATATTAATGAATAAGTGAGAGCAGACAAGTACAGAAATAATTGTAATATTCGTAATAATAACCAAAGAAATTATATAAGAGTGTGTTCACAGAAGTCATTGAGCATTATTTGATTTGAAATGGTAGCTGTTGGAAATTACTTACAAGCTTTTCATAATAGGTGATTATAAATACGATGATATTGATTGCATAGAATGATTTATACGAAATGATTGAGCGATAATGTGAAAGTTGATGTTGATTCCGTTTTGAAATGTTATAATAACGAAGTGAATAAATATCAAAGTTGCATACATTTATATACGTGATTTCATTTATTTTGACCAACCCATTTTATTATCAAGAATGGAAACTAAGAATAACTCCCTTGTAAAAATAAGTAAGAAGATCCCTTGCGGGGAAATAAATCAGTCAGTACTCGTACGATCTAACATTACACCTGAACGTCTATTCTGGTTCTCTGAAAATGAATTTTCGTCTATTTTCGAAATGCTAATACGACTCCGTAAAAACTAATTTCTTTAATATTTTTAATGAAAAGAAGGCAGGACCAGACACTGCCTGCATCAGAATGCATAGATAATCTTTACGGCTGTGATTGTAACAAAATTATAAGAACGATCCGAAATTCCCCAAAATCGTTCGAGGACAAATAAAATATGCTTTCAGGTGTCATGTTAACTCGTACGAGTTATACATTTAGCCCTTCGTTCTGTTTCTTCGTATTTTGAATCAGTTTAAACTATACGGATCCTACATCGTATTTTAGACACGGGTCTATCCTTTCTATGCAAAAGTCAGTGGCAAAATGCCACGGGTTCCTGGTCAGAGGAGACTCATTACTCCTGACATTTATTTTACACAATTAGTAGTAATAATAGATGAATTTGCCACGAGCCTCAAACGGTATAGTTACGCCACTGGCAGAAGTCTTGGTTAACTGATGTTTTAGAGTTCATCCGTGTTAGAGCATTCGCAGCGTTCATTGGTCTGACAGCGCCATCCTTATGGATTTTGAAATAAATTCTTAATCCATGTAGAGTGGCATTAAATAAGTCTTGGTGAAGTTGCGTGGCTGACAGTCCATCAGCACAGCGCCACAGCTGAACTACATTTATAATACAGTGTATGAGATGTAGATGTAGGAGTCCACTTCATTGTTGTTATAATAATATGTTAGACTATACAAAACTGAAATTTCCCCACTCATAATAATAGATTTAACTCCACTGCGGAAATTTGACATATTTTGGTTCTACCAGGCTGATCAGCCCAGCAGCACAATATATACATTATTTTTAAAAGTATATTACTTTAGCCATCGATCACCATTATGTTCCAGATTGATAAATGAGGGATTACATTTACGACCTTAAAAGCTTTTTTGGAATTCATTATAAATACATAATCCTAGCCTAACAGCACCACAAACTCTTTAGTCTCCGAAATAAATTACGTAACTTGGTTATTTATCTAAATGGGTCAAGAACGAATTTGAAAATCAAAGAGTGTGGTGATGCCAGCCCGCGGTTTTTGTAAGATTGTTTTCCAAAAAAGGATATTATCACAATTTTGGACTGTGGTCTGTGACACAACACATGAAATAAGATAGTTTACTCATTTATAACTAATTTTAGAAAATTTGTTTTTTAAAAGAAAATTTCAACTATGTGTGCGTACCCGCCCTCTTATGTTAAATTATTTTATCAGTTCATGAAAAAGTAAATGAATAAAAAAGGTCACACCCCTTTTTCCTAAAATTAATATTTTCATTAACATACTTCGTCATCTGTCTCAGTGTATACGATGCACTGCTTCCAGTCTGGCCCTTGTTTTTCTCTATCACCATTGGTTGCCTGGACGAGATTGCTGCCTAGCAATAAGGCCGCCACTTTTATACTGTCCATAACATTGCTTTCTTTGTAATATGTCTAAGTTTTTGTGCAATAAAGAATATTATCAATCTCCTGAACTAGCACTTTGGGTGCCTCTATAGGCACAACAGGTATATTTCAAATCAAACAAGGAATTTGCAAAAGAATTATTTATTTTAGGTACAGAATGTAAATTGCTTCAGTATTTCAAGCTCAATTGTTAACTGTTTCTTGGGTTTGGTGTATTTATCAAAGTTATGAGGTAAAAATTATGTCTAATCAATCACAAACATGAAAAGAATAACACACTAAGATATTATTTTCCAGCAGCGGTTGCTAGAGGATTTCTTAATACTAAAATGACTGAATCACCTCTCAAGAACATCTTTGAAATAAACTTGTCTTTGTTAACAGCCTTGCCCTGAAATGAAATGTTGAAGTTGAATTATAAAATACTTCTAGATATTAGATATTTCATTTACCCATTACTAGATGGCATTACGTGTCATTTGAATCGCACTAACACTGTTGAAACTCCTTGTGTCTACTCAAATGCAATTAACATATGCACAAATTAGTGTTTTTAAAAAAATACACTAGTTAGTACACTAAATATTACAAAATTATTAAAACATTTAAATATATTAGATTTTAAATCTAAATTAGTTTGACGGTCAAACCAATAAATAAAAAAAATCTCACTAGGCAGAAAATCAAACTAATGAATCGACCTAGCGAGAACAAAGGCAAAATTATAGATAAATGTTGTCTATCTAAGCTAATGCTTAGTAGCACATTACCAAACCTTACAGGTATATATTCGATTAGATATTCTTAATATAAAGTGATTTCTAGTACAGTATGCCTTGAACTAAACACAAATAACATGGTTGGATATAAATAGTGAAAAGATGCCGAATACCAAACAAATATTCGGTGCATCTCTAAAAAAATGAATAAAGAATAAAATGAATATAGGGTTTGAATTGGCCTTTCAGACGATATGGAAAACTCAAAAACGCAAATTTTGCTGTACTGCAATTTAGGCTTGGGAGGACAGAATAAGTAACCATTAAACATTAACAGTGTTTAGCGTTGGAGTAAATTTAAACTGTAACTACATTTAGTATTAGTTAAAATTTATATTATTACAACAGAGACTGAGTATAGGTTTACCTAGTATGAGGTTCTATGGAAGTAATATTTATCCTAGAAGGCAGTAAGTTTGCTTATTCTGTTTAATATAAATTTGTACTAATAATAAAATTTCAATTTAAATGTATATTTTATCTAACTCTTAACCTTGTTTATTAAATAGCACTGTAATTGACCAAAGTTTAGGTAAACATAACCTAAGTTGTGTGTACTTTTGATAGACAAAGAAAATGTTTGATTTAAAAAGAGCAGATATTATAATATACCTTTTTTCCTTTTCCCGTTCTTGGGACTTCGGTCCACATTTCTTTTACATTTTCTAAGACCATATTACAGTGCCGGTCAAAAGCTTTAACGCGTCCCAGTAGTTTCTTGTTGTTTCTGCAGTTAATAAGTACTTGCGTATTGTTTTTAACTGATTGTGTCAGCACAGAAAGAGGACCTGTACTAAACTCTTCTTCCTCTATTTTTGCTAATTCTTCAAGAGTCATTTCAGAACGAGGCTTCGATGTTGACGCCCTGTCAATAAAAATACAACATAAAACACATGTGGAGAAGTAAACCAATTTTAAAGATTTACATTTTATTACTATATTACTTACATTTTGTAAAAAGTTTATTAGAACCTCAAAATTGCAAGATTATTTTAACGAAGATCTAAAATAAAATACAATCATGCGTCCTAAACCGACACCGTGCCGCGCCACAAAACTAGGTATGACGCTAGTGGATGATACGAGTAAATACTTACTCGATACTTTTCGTTCGTAACCAAGTATTTTGATATCGATAATTTAAAACTGAGAAATGAGTAGTATCGTGAAGTATTTGTATCGGTACTTGGTCGATCACTCACTGAGGAGAGTCAAAAAACTTGCGTGCATAAGACTGTTTATTCTGTGGAAAGGTGCCTAAATCTGTCTCATAAAAACAGTGCCCGCCCTATAGTACAGGGTGTACAATACGCCGCCGGAAGCGCCGCGGCGCCCCCGAGACAGCTAAGAGCATCATGGTATTAGAAGAAGCGGCCAGCTCTCGCGGTGGCGGCAGTGATAAAACGCGAGCGCCCTATGGGCGGCTTCTTTTCGAACATATTGTTTCAATCAGGCCCATTTTTACTCATGGTGCGGGGGGTGCAACGCACACGGGCGCCGCGCGTTCGGGGTGCTGTTGTGCTTAAGACGGGCCTGGCGTGGCATCCCTGTCGAATAACGAAACATAGCTTACCCCTATTAATATTAATCTATTCATAGAGTACACGTCTTCCCTATGCAAAACAAGATTAGGTACCTACCTACTAGATGAGGTTTCAGGTACAAATCATGAAAAGAGTAAATATCGATTTTCATATGGATAATATCTATTCTCATATCGATTTTTATAAATTGTCAACTGTTGGCAACTGGGTGTTTCTTCGGAAATTCAACTTCTGGTTTGATACATTCTTCATTTGATACATTGTTCTTCATAAATAATGAATCTTGACTAATATTTTTTAAATTTTAAAATCAATAAAGTATCCAATATCGCAGCAGACTGATATCACCGATGAAAAAAAATCGGATTTAATTATTTTTAAAGAACAATAATGACGAATGTATCAAAGTGGAAGTTCAATGAGGTATTATTTAAAAAATAAACTGTTCCCGAAATCAAATTAGATGTCGCTACAGTACTTTCTGATTTATCCATCACAACCCTTCCGGTTTTCTTTCATGTACATACATGTACATATAATAACGGTTACAAATATTTGGGGCCCGGCCTTCTAAGCTAGTTTTACCTGTATTATAGAAGCCAGTATCTTCCCAATGACATTTCAATATTTAGATAGGTACTAAGTACAAACAAGTTGGAATTAGATATGAGCGCCGATGGCTAATTCCACGGCGGCGGCGTGGTGTAAAATATTCTACGGAAGCGACGGCGCGTCGGCGTGGTTTACATTTACAAGAAAGCATACCGTAATTATAATACATACTTAAGAAAATCTATATTTTAATCAGTTTAATCTTTTTTGATAAAACTAAGAATCACATTTCTAAAAACTAGTCATTTTAATGAAATGTGATATTCTTTCTAAAGACATAAACTCGCAACAATAATTTCAATGAGATTGATATAAACTATCAACTAATCAAAATTGCTTCTCTGAAGCTGAATATTTTTTTCTGAAATAAAAAAAGATAGCCAGTAACCAACTATATTGGTCGGTCCTCATATCAGCGGTTAACGCACCAAAACGAGGACTTTGATTTATAGGTATATTTTTTTTTTTACATAAGACAGCATACTTTTGTACACATCTTTCAGTGCTTTCATATTGTGCCTGGAGGGCAGCTCTGCGTCGAAAACAATAATGTTGTTTGTAATTTTTCAAAAAGTCAATCATTGCTTCATGTTTCACAGTGTCAAATGGAATCAAAGATCTAGCAAACCAAAGAGTCAAATCTGGAGAAAGACACCACTTATTGCTCTTCTCAAAACAGTTACTGGTTTTTGGAGTCCTTTTGTGGCGTTTGACCTGGGGTCAGCCATTGCATTTTTCTTTTACGGTTATCATAAACAATCCACTTTTGATCACATGTCACAATTAGATCCAATATTCCTACATTTCTGTACCGATTCAAAAAGGCAAAACAAGTTTCAACACGCGTTTCTTTCTGCAGATCAGTCAAATCATAGGCACCCACTTTTCGTATTTTTTTATTTTATTGATTTGACGATAGGAGAAAAAAATTTTTTTTGGACGATTCAAAAGTGCTTATAATAGCCTACTTGAATAAATATATTTTCATTTCACGCAAATTAGTCAATATTGTGGATAAGATAACGTTAAACAATACCGCTAATTCTTGGGTAGTTTGACTAGGATCGGCTTCCACCGTCTCTCTTAAATTATCGTTATTCACCTGTGTGGGTGGTCTTCTTCGTGGCTGGTTCTTTATCAAGTCGAAGTTTCCATCACGACAGCGTTTAAACTAAAATCGCACGGTACGTCCATTAGCAGACCCCTCTCCAAACGCAAAATTGATATTGTGGGCGTCTAAGTTGAATAACAAAAACAATTGAAAGTCGATATTCAAATGTTTCACATTTTTTAAAAGAAGAACATTATAGAAACCATTTGAAAAAAAGTTTCTTTCGAAAACTTCAAACCATGAAGATTCTATGTCAATTCAAGAACCTATTACAATAAAACGGCAATTTTATACTTTAACCAATAATATTTTATTAACCGGTTTGTACATGCCGCAACGGCGCGCCGCGTATTTTGCTCGACGATGGCGCGCCGGCGTAGCGCTCATATCTAGTTGGAATATCATAAGGAATAAAAAAATATATGGTTACAAACTTTCGTACATACTATGTGTAAGTTTACGTGCATGGCCATGTTAGTATATGTGTGTGTGTGTGTGTGTATTACAAATAGTTAACGTACTGGTTTTGTATGTTTCTACTTCTTTACTACTTACCAATAACAGATAACCGAAGATCTTTTTTTTCAATTGATTACATTTACTTATTTTTAGATTTGGTTCAATTATGTTATAATATCTTGGGGCAAGAAAATTATAAAATCGCTGTACATATGGACTTCTTGTAACAACTTGAGCATGCATGTGCATGAAATGATGTGCATACTTGAGCATGAAATATAATTGCAGTATCATCTGCGAACATTAACAACTCTGCGCCAGTGAGCTACAGATTTCACAATTCATTCAAATTCAATTTCAGTTTTTTAATATGTTAGTTAAAAGGAACGGAAATTACTATCTTTGGTCCATTTGTTATCTGCAACTAATTACAGGGCGTTTTCGTCGTTCATTAATTTATTGAAAATGTTGCATTTACAGATTTTAAAAATGAACTTTATTAGATTTTTATATAACAGCATAACAACAACACACAACTTATTTTTTAATAGTGTCAAATACCCTCTTAACACATTAATACATTAATACGAAGCAATTTTCAAAGTAAAAAAAAATCAAGTTTACAAAATTATGTCACACATTTCACACATCGATAAAAATCGATATTTTTGGTTGTCAATTTATCGATATATTCTGATTAGGGTTCGAAGTATCGGCTTCTGGTATCGATACCGAGTACTCATGTGGTATCGAGAGACATGGTATCGATACCATAAAAGTATTGATACTACTCAGTATCAAGTATTTATCTACAACATTTAAACCATGATAGAATTTAAGATTTTTCAAAGACCATGCATAGAAAATTGCAAAAATTCTCTTTGGACGCAAGTAGGAGACGTTTGACGAACGAATTAAACAGTTTTAAAAGGAACTTTTGTACTGCCGTTTTTGGTGAGTTAAATTGCCGTATTTAGAAAGACATGAACAATAATATAACATGTTTCATTTTTCATTTTATTTAATAATTTTAAAATTAAAACTGAAATTTGCAAAGTTCCAAACTTCGATATCAATACAAATACTCAAAAGTACAAATAGAATGTGAGTTGTATATTGAGTTTTGAAAATTAATTTACTTTTATATATGAAAGAAAACTGGAAGGTTTGTCATTAAGAACGTACCGTAGCGATACTAGTTTGATTTTGGGAACGATTTTTTTTTTTAAATACGTCCTCAATAGCAACGCTGGAATGAAACACTATCCAGAATATTAAAAACTTTGTAAGTAAATGGTTATTTACGGATTTTTCTTTCGAGAAACTTTGTAAGTAAATGGTTATTTACGGATTTTTCTGAATTATTATTATTTTTTTTGTTTTTATTCAAACATTAATATATTTCTAGAGTTTTTTCTTAAAAATATATTTTATATAATGTTTCTTTAATCGTATACATTGTATACGATTGAAGAAACTTAGAAGTACATTGTATTGAGGCCAGGGTAATAAAAAATACTTCCAAAGATTTACAGACATAGAAGCTAAATGGCAACTTTAAATAAGCCGTAACAAGCCATACTCGATACCGGCAATTTTTATAAGTACTTGCGTGTACTTACCGTGCTGTAGAATCGAGAACTCAGTATCGAGTATCGCTTTTGAAAGTATTGATACCTACTCAGTATCGAAAGTATCGGTCGAACACTAATTCTGATATATCATGCATCTTTATGGGTAGGGGGTTCCCACCCGCCAATTTTGTAAGAAATTAGAATTTTTAAAATCGTTAATAATCTTGTTCGTAACGACATAGATTAAATTATTCGCGATATCATCGATACGTATGTAAGTAGTTACTTGATGTGGTGTTGGTTAACTAAAAACTTAATCTTTATTCCATTGGGTAAGTAATACAAGATTGAAAATACAGGATGTCAGCTTATTTGTTTGTTCTTTGTTTTCTTCAAGTTACAGTTTTTTTATCAGTTTTTATCATGTCGCAGCCTACTGCATAATACGAAATAATTTTACTAGTTAATCATTATACTAATAAGTTATGTAAAAAAAAACAGGTAACATTAAATTTGTACTTTTTACAGCTTTATGATGTTATCTAAATTTAATAAAAACTGTGTATTTACTGGCCCGTTGGATTCCTACTGTCTTATATGTGAGAGTTTTTTGAAATCTGAGAGTGATATCACTGCTCATATAGAAAAACCTGTCCATACCAAGAATTTGGTGTCTACTCTATATGTTGAAAAGTATAAGGATGAACACATAAGAAAGGTGATTCAGTTTTACTTTGTATATCTTTAATGTTGAAATATAAATGTGATGTCTGTACTTTTGTATTATTATATAATGACAAGTTTGTGTATGTTGATTGTATATGACATTGTAGAATTTTATATTGTATTTGGATAATATGACAGACATTGTAATCAAACCTAAATTATATTATTTTTTTTTCTTTTTTATATAAGGCAAAAATATTGTTGAGCTTGAAACTTATTTAACAACTGTACTGACACAATATTTGAGCAAATAAATGTTTTGATTTGATTTGTTATTGGATTTTAATAAATCCATTGATAAGTGTTTTAATAATCCAGTCCAGCTTGCCTACTCTGCTTGTAGACAGTGACAGATATAATCTTGTTGCCAGTGCATAGTGGAGACGGACAGGGTTACCACAATTATTATACAAATTTGCCATATATGTAACATAAATATGTGCATTTCCTGGAGAAGAAATATTTGATTGTTTGTTTATTTACATTTAATAGTCTCTGAAATTACTTCTCCAAAAATTCACTAGTTTCAACATTCACTAGTTGTGAAAAGTAACAAGTGCCTGAAAAATTAGTAGCTCAATGGATTGTGAAAGGTTGTAGGTTAGAGTTCTATCTCCTGGTACCTAGGGCTGGAGGAGTTTTAAGCATTTTTCACTATAGATACATTACTTTTTGTCACCAAAATTCAGGTATTTCCACAACCAGACCAAAAGCCTGTCCAATATGTCCATGTGTAATGGTGCCGTTTAACAGAACAACAAACCAAACCAACCACTCTGTCAAGAGTGCAATTACTAGAAAGTACATTGATTAATGAGAAACTTGATGATTCTTGCTGATAACAAAATAAGTGCAACTAAATCTTGCATTGTAATATTTAAATATTTCCATTAATTGCACTGTATCTTCCTACTGGGCTTCCAATTCTGATGTATCTTTAGAGACATTAGAGACATAGAGAAATTTCAACTTTCTACGCGCAGTAGTTTCGGTTGTACGTAGTCTACCAGTCAGTTAGTCGCTCAGCTACGCATACATAATATAGAATATTACGAGGGTCAAACTGAAAGTTCTTAGAACTGGCCACTTATAAACAATATAATAAAAAAATAATTCTAAAATTTGAAAATATAACTCTTTGCCAATATTACTGAGTATATATTTCATTCATTTGTCATTTGTTTTACGATTTGGCGGCAAATTGAAAATTGTCTGTGTCACGTCATCATGAATTTAACACGAGAAAATTTTCGTGCAATGATTTTTTATGACTTTCGATGTCATTTAAGTCAACAAGAAAGTTATGATAGACTACGATTGGCCTTTCACGATGAAGCCCCATCTCGTGCGACTGTTTACAACTGGTTTAATGAGTTTAAACGTGGTCGCACTAATCTCACTGATGATTTACGTGAGGGACGGCCTTCTACGGCGACGACTGAAGATAACATCTGTGTTGTGCGGCGTATGATAGAGACTGACAAAAGAGTGACCTATCAACAGATTCGGACAAGCTTAGGCATCGGTATGAGTCAAGTGCACAAAATCCTCCACGAACATTTAGCGGTCAGGAAGCTTTGCGCCCGGTGGATACCTCATAATTTGACTGAGGCTCAAAAACTCCATCGTGTGGATTGGTGTCGTAAAATGATTGAAAGAGTTAACGGAGGTGACTCAAATGCTGTGTTCGACATACTAACAGGTGACGAAAGCTGGATTTACTGTTATAATCCTAAAACCAAAAGACAATCTGCTCAGTGGGTGTTTCCTTTCGAGGAGTTGCCAACTAAAGTGAAGAGAGATCGAAGTGCGGGAAAAAAAATGGTGGCCTCGTTCTTTGGAAGGATAGGTCATTTTGCAACAATTGTGTTAGAGGATCAAAAAACAGTTTCTGCAGAATGGTACACTACCAATTGTTTGCCACTTGTCTTGGAAAAAGTTCGAGAGAAACGACCTCGCAGTAGGATCCTCCTTCACCACGACAACGCCTCGTCGCACACCGCCAAGCGAACGATCGACTATTTGGCGACATCAAACGTTGAATTACTGGGTCACCCGCCGTATAGCCCCGACCTCGCGCCTTGTGATTTTTATTTATTTCCAAAAATTAAAGAAAAACTTAAAGGAAAGCGGTTTATGAATGCTGAAGAAGCGGTGGCTGCGTATCGCGATGCCATTGAAGAGACCCCTAAGGACGAGTGGGCAAAGTGCTTTTCCCAGTGGTTCCATCGCATGCAGCGGTGTATTGACGTGAATGGACAATATTTTGAAAAGATATAATAAAACTAATAACTGGCTAATGTAATCAGTTTTTGATTTTCTAAGAACTTTCAGTTTGACCCTCGTATAAGGAAGTCATGGAAAAATTTCTAACACAGAATTCTAGAAAAAGAATACCGTCGACTATTTTAATATAAACGTGTGTAAACGAAAATTAATAATATCTGAAAACAAAATTAAAATCCGTTTACAAATAACCAATTTATAGATTAATTATAAAAAATAAATTCAAAATCACGCTCTAAAAAATTGAAACACGAAATTTACTTTATAGCAATTGTAACCAAAGGACAGCATGGTCGTATGCCACATCAGTTTGTATAAGAAATGTATTCTGTTAAACGCTTTAATATATTTTTTTTCCTTATTTAAAAATATAACACATGGACTATACAATGTTAATAGAAGATTTTTTTTAGAGCCCTCTTTCGAGTAATAAACAAAGCGCGACTGTGAGATGCAACCGATGCTCGTAATAGCTCGTGGTCCATTTCGGTATGTAGTGTGACGTCACAACCTGAGGTACTGCGTGAAGTGAAATTGTTCTAGCGAGCGCAACTTTAAAGAACCATATTTTTTTTCGTTCATTTTCGGTGCGGATCCCTTCGTGCACATGTTGACGCACACTTGGCCGGTCTTTTAGGCTAATTTTTATTTGCATTAAATTTCTTTGAGGAAAAGCATATTTACTTTGATAAGAATTCAATATCATCCGTTCATATAATAAGACAAAAAATTTAAATACAGTTTTACGAACTTTTTTTTAAATCTTAGCACATAGATATATGACCTTTTTTTAAAGATAATTTAAAGCTCTTCAGCTTTTCTTTGGAAAGCATTCGTATACCTCTTACCGTTACGACAGCGTTCATAAAAATAGGCGCCTTCGGAAGTAATTCTATCCATATGGAACCTTTTAGCGGGATTAAAAGTAGCTTATGTACTAAATTTCATTTAAATCTCCTCAGTAGTCTTTGCGTAAAGTAACAAAAATCCAAACCTACAAACTTTCGCCTTTAAAATTTTAATGGGATTCTTATTAATTTCTATACGCGGGATCAAGAAAAAGAGTAGGTATTAACAGTATGCTTGTGGGTCGATTGGTGGAGAATATCTACGGGATCGAGTTCGCCTTTTATATTTATTTTATATTATAAAAATAATGAAACTTGTAGTATTCCCTAAGTTAAAAGCTAAGCAATAAAAAAAAAAACATTGCAATCCGACGTCTAGTTTGCGAGATATCCGTGGACAAACATACATACATCTATAAAATTTTGCGTACATGTTTAGAAGCCCATACAGATCAACATACATGAATATTACGCCATTCCAATGAAATTACATACAAACCTCGAATTGTTAACCTCCTTTTTTTGAAGTTGGTTAAAATATATATAAATAATCGTATTAAACATGCGTTTTATGCATACGAGGTGTTCTTCAGAGAACGTATAAGTACACATTTAAAATTATTTTCAGGTTAAAATGGGCTATTATTGTGAATTCTGTAATAAACTCTTCACTACATTTGCAAAAGTCGGACTTCATATAACTGAAAATCAGCATATATACAATAAAGGCACACAACTCTTAAAACGCACGCCCGATGGTATTATAGCATTCGGAAACACACTTATAAGCGACGAGGCATGGAATGGCTTCATTGAACAAACTTGCTGTTTATGTAATACGGAATTTGAAGATAAATGTATACATAAGGCAGAACAATTTCATGCACTTAATTTGATAAAGATTAAGATTGATTTTGTTGATATTTTTTGCTATCGCAAAGTAAGTATAAACATTATTATATTGTTAAACATAGTCGTTTCTTATAGTTTAGATACTGAAACGCCTTTATTACTTTCAGATTGATGACGAGACTTATCACTGTCTCACATGTAACACAGTACTCGCGCCAAAAACTTTTCCTAGTCATTTCGAAAGTCCTGATCATAACACGAAATACCGTGAATGTTACGAGCTCGGTATTAAACTTGTCGATAAAACAGAATCGGTTCAGGAGAACGTTGATAACACTGAAGCTCCTTGTAAAGCTAAAAAGGTTGATGTATCTAATGAGGGTACACAGGCAGATTTATTAAAAACTGCTGAAGGAGCAGTCGATGAATCAGAATCAATTCAGAAGATAGTAGATAAAACAAAAGTTTCTGCTAAAACTAAAAACGCTGATGTATCTAATGAGGGTAGACAGGCAGATTTATTGAAAACTGCTGAAGGGGTAGTGGATGAAACAGAATCGGTTCAGAAGAAAGTTGATAAAACTGAAGCTCCTGCTAAAGCTAAAAAGGTTGATGTATCTAATGAGGGTAGACAGGCAGATTTATTAAAAACTGCTGAAGGGGTAGTGGATGTCACGAGTACTGGTAGCCGAGCCGAAGTATCCAAAACTGATGACGGGGCAGGGGTATCCAAAGTTAAACAAACGAAAACAAATCAAGCAGTAAAAATAAAGTTCGTTAAGAATCTCAAGGAGTTAGATGCGATTTACCTGCATTCGTTGGGTGCCAAGGATTATATCAAACAACTCCGTGAAGGCGGGATGTACTGTTTAGTATGTGGATTGCTAATGATGCGCAGTGAGGTGTCTAAGCATTTGAAATGCCGACATCACTCATATATTCTTCAGATGCACAAGGATAAATTGGAGAATATGACCATGACGCAAAAAGATAACGATGAAAATCTACGTAATGAAACTGTAAAAACTTCTGAAGACGATGTTAATAGGAGTAAGATATTGGATTCGCTGACAGAATTCCAGGAGAATGATATTAATATTGACTATGTGAGTGGCACAGTAATTTGCAAGAAATGCTTGAAAGATTTAGAATATAATTATGACATTATTAAAGGTCATATCGATGATCACAAGATAAAGCCAAATAAAAAAGAAATTATGCCAACTCCAGGCGTGTTTAATCAAAATAAAGTACAGGAGGGTCGCGGTAACACTCTATACACAAAACCTGTATTGTTGAAACGCAACGAATCAGATGAACCTCGAACATCTAGAAGGTCTTCTGTTTCCTCTAAAGATGTCGACGAAATAGAAGCATTCGCAAACAAGAACAATATGCACTTTAGTGATAATAAAGTTCACTGTAATGTGTGTGGAACACATCTGCCGCCATCACTAAAGAATCTTAAGCAGCATATTGAAGGCGCGAATCATAAATATAAATTAATAAATACAGATAATGTTGTGGTTAAAAAGAGAGAATTGACAAAGTTATCTATATCTGACTTTGTAACATCTGTTGTTTGCATAGAAAATAGTTATTGCCAAGACCTCATTATAAATGAGAAAATATGTATAAACATACAAAGTTTCCTATTTTTTAAGTCCATGACTCATTCAACATGGAAATGCTATGCTTGCGATGTGACTATTCCTAATGAGGCACTTGAAATACACAAAAAAAATGACAGACATCGTACTGCATTGGCTGAAGCTATAACTGTTACATTGGCATCCGAATTCATCAGAGAGGTGAGTGTAAAATAAAATCTGTCTTAAGATCATTGTAAGCTTTTTGGTTTAAACTTCTAGCAGTGCCGGATTATGCCAGTGCAATTTTTTTGAGCGCTTGGTTTGTTTGAGATTAATTAAGTGTTTAATTGAAATAAATCAAAATTCTTACAAACATACGTTTTATGATTTGTAACATTTCATTGTAAAAGCTCAGACTCAATTATTTGACATACAATGTGGGCATTATCAACACGCACCTTCTTGTTTTTTGAGTTATGTTATGTTATGTTTATGGCTTTACAAAAAATTGTGGCCATTCTTCCAATTACTTAATATACTTATCTTTCGTGAACGAATATAGCCTTTCGAATAGCACAAAACTTTATTCGTCAGTTTATGTTTGTACTTAAAGATATAGGTTTAGTCAGAATTTTGGCTTATTTTATTTCTTGCATTTTTTAAAACTGACTTGAAAAACTAATTTATTGGTCAGATTATAATGAGGTTTCTAAACGCGTGGGGCCCGTAGCATTTGCAACTTTTGCTGCGTGGCTAATCCAGCGCTGTTTCTTAGTTTACATCTGCCGAATTCTTGATTGGCAAAAAAAGCAGGATCCTATATCGGCCATCTCGTCTGTCGCCAGGCTGTATGTCATTAGCCGTGATAGCTCAGTCAGTTCACAGGTGACGCATTTCTATTGCCGCTAATATTTAAAAAAATATATAAAAATTTAAGTCGGGCTTCCCCTACAAGTGATTTTTTTGCGTGTTTTATAGATAATGCTACGGAATCCTTCGTACGCGAGTCAGACTACCTGTTTTTGACCCTTATTAGACTGTAAGCTTTTCCTTCAGGTTCGTTCGGATATTTACCATTGCGGCTACTGCAACATCGTCGAGTCAGATTGGGACAGTATGAGTGAACATTTGGGCAGTGTTCAACATAAAGAGAATAAGACTGTAGCAGAATGGAGGCTTCAACAGCATTTGCCTAATATGAGAAGGCACGAAATGAGACAGGACATGCATATACTCGCATTTCTTCGTCTGATGGCTAATGATGGCTATCTTCCATAATTTTTAATTTATATGCTATGTATAGTTATGTATAAGGTGTAATATTATTATGTGCCAGGACTTCGTGGAGTGAATAAGTTAAGTATAAGGTATTATAATCCATGACCCAAAATGAGACGTTGATTGCTTTTTAAAAGATCTGTTTTGCGTGGTATATGACTGCGAATCAGGATATTAATATTTTTTATAAAAACCATGTAAGTTTTTCGATAGATAAATGCAACGGACAACAGCACTTCAGATTACAGAAAAATGTGAATCTCCATATAATTTTAACCTTTAATGGATCGTGGTTACGGTTTAGAATTGATTGCGTAAATTTTTATGTATGTGATAACCTGGCTGTGCGTATTAGAAATAGTATTTTTAAGTATTAAGTCATTTTTCTACTTGTTGATTGTTGTGTAAAAGCAAAGATAGAAACAGGAATTCACAGAAAAAAAAATTAGTATCACTAAGTTGGACTATCATATTGCTGTTTTAGTTTTTTATTACCCCCTGCCTAGATGACATCAGAAAGCTACCCCTCGATCATCCGAACAAACACTACATTCGAATCGGATACTTATAATGTCTTAACGCCATCTAGTGTCACCTAATGAGATTAATTTGATGCCTGGTTGTTGGTGAGTTTCTGTTGCTTTATAAAACGTCTTATTTTTTAAGTGGAACAAGTAAATTTTTTAATACTCACAACGCTATATGGGCGAGTGTTTCTGAACATTATATTTGATTGAACTTTTAATTGGTTACTGATTTTGCTAGCGTAATTTAATTTATAAAATATACTTATGTTTTAATTGAAAAATAAATTGTTCCGGCCACCCAAAATTTTAAAATTTTATTCCAAAAATAAGACTGGTTATGTCACTGTTGTTAAGTCTTATGGATATTGGAATAAGAGCGAAAATATTATCTGTGTGTTTGTTGATTTTTCTTGATTAAGTTTAAACTTTTTAATGTTTTGATATATAAGATTTGAATTTTAAGTAGTTTGTATAAGTAACGAAACTAAAAAATGTAAGTGTTGAAACAGATTGTTATCTTAAGAATACTTTATTTTTTCATAATTATTGACTATACTTTTATTTTATTGCGTTGAGTCTAAGATTGTTGCATGTTCTTTGTTAATATTATGTCCAACGATTAGTTATTTAAAATAAAAAATGACTATTTACTTTAAAAATGTTGTTATAACGATTCTTACCAAATAGACGTTGTTTGACTGTCTATAGATGGCGCCAGTTGTCCTAATATAAGTTATGATTAAGACGAGATTTATTTTTTTATCGATAAAAATGTCTATATACTTTTCTGAATAAAAATAATTAAAGAAATACATTTTGATTAATTTCTATAATTATTATGCTACAATCGTAGCAAATGTTTAAGCAGATTAAGCAGTTCTAACAAAACGCACAGGGGGCCAATTCTACTTAATAAATTTTGTTTAAATCGAATCGAAAACGGATCGAAACCGAACGAAACTTCAGTTTTTAATGGTTTTTCTATTCTACTAAGTGACATACGATACAATTGCAGCTAAAATAGAACTGGAATTGTATCGTTTGTCACTTTGTAGAATAGGAAAACCATTAAAAACTGTAGTTTCGTTCGGTTTCGATCCGTATTCGAACCGTTTTCGATTCGATTTAAACAAAATTTATGTAGTAGAATTGGCCCCCAGGGGCTCAACTAAAGTTTCCAATTTGCCTATTTTCTGTATTAGTATTTCTGAGATTGAAGATTTTCAATACTTTTTAATTAGAAATTAAATTCAGACAAAAACCAACAATCAAACAACTGATTGATTGAGTTTTGATTTATGAAAGCTGCTTTTATAAACCCGGAATGGAAAATTATGCGGGATCTTGGTATTGGAATAATCTAAAGGGAAAATAGATTTTACCCACCCTTTAGACTTTTATTTTTCTTACTATTTGGGTGTTTGTTGCCCCTATTATTATTTACCTCGTGAGGATAACTACTCCTAGGTTAGAAACCACTGCCCTTCTATAAGCTACACAGCACTAATAACGTGATATTACTGAAGTTAGTATATTAATCTATTTATTAGTTTAATACTATTAGGTATTGTCTTACTATCAACTAATTGAAAAAAGTTAAATCACTTGAATTCACTATAAAGCCTTTTATTAGAAAAAATCTAACAAGAACGCTAATTCAAATAAACGAAAAAAGCGAAATTCTCGCTTTTCGTCATAATATCACATTTACTACGTATTAAAAATCATATTCGAAACCAAAAACTTCGAGAATAGTTTTATGTTAACCGTGAAATATATCTTATCTATGATAATATTGTTGAATAAAAAAAAGTATTAAAATAATCTCTTCGTAAGGAATAAATATTCACAAGTTTTAATCACACATCTAATTATATTATTTCAATAAAAATAATAAATATATATTATTACAAAATACGATGTACCCGGCCATGTAGCGGTATTCAAACGAATTTAACCTTTTGCGTGGCGACAGCGCTGGGGATGATGTTGTATTTTTACAAGTACAAAATACCACTTTTTGAAATTAATAGGTAAGATTTCCTTCTAAGTGTTTCTCTCGTGTGGACCAAAAATTATAATATGCGTTCACAAATAGGATTCTGAAACATGGTTTTTTGTAATTGACATTTATTTTTTATTATAATTAAAATAACAATTTTGCATGCCAAGTGGCGAAATACGGAATAAGCTCGACATTCATTGTGTATTATATATATGTAGTTGCATCTGTTTGTAAATAAATGATTTGATTTGAACATATAATGAAATATTCTTAAAAAATCCACCAGCCCGCCCGAATTGCGAAAGTCATGGTTTAGTCCTATCTCAGTGTATCTGGGGATGGTAGATTTTTTAAGCATTTTACATTAAAAAATATTTTCCAAGACAGCATTATGAATGTAAAATGAACAAAATATAATATTTCCGTCATATTTAGGGTTCCGTGCTCAAAGCGTAAAACGGGGCCCTATTACTAAGTCGTAGCTACTTTCGCAAGGGTCGGTCACGGAATGGGTGACCAAAAAATTATTATCTCGAGCTACTCCGTGCTTCGGAAGGCACGTTAAGCCGTTGGTCCCGGCTGCATTTGCAGTCGTTAATACCCTCCAATCCGCATTGGGCCAGCGTGGAGGGTCATGGCCCATCCTCCTTAACCATCCATAAGGAAGGCCTGAGCCCCTGCAGTAGGGACGTAAAAGGGCTGATGATTACTAAAAATCCGCCGTCAGTCCGTTTGGCTACAATCAAATGTATATCATGAATCGTGACAGTTACAGCTGAAAATTTCACAGATGATCTCACTCTGTTGCCGATATGACAAAAAATCGTTAAAAACAACAAAATAAACATTTAAAGGGACTCCGATACCACAAACATTACGCCAACTGCTTCGTCCGCTTGGTCCTGCCTGACTTAGTATAGGTAGCACGGAGCTGACGGAGTGCGACTCGCACTTGGCCGTTTCAAAGCTCGCAATTATAAACGACATTTAGAAAAAACTACGATAGAAAAACTAAATCAATTTGTATCGATATTGATGTTGCAACTAAGGATAATGAACACGAAGTGCCTACTGGACAATATATATATATGTCGCAGTAAGATAGATAAAGCCGTAATATAGTTATATCCTTAGGGATATAATTATATACCGTAACATAGTTATACGGAAGCGATTCATTACTATCTCACTAGGAATGTAGTTATAAAGCGGTCCAAGTTTAGTGATATACTTATATAATATAAGTTATATTACTAGATTAAGTTTAGTGAAATAGCTGCCGAAAACTTAAGAAAAGCCGCATAAAAAATGAAAACCCACTCATCACACAAATTTCCTGACATTGACGTGGGATCTTCAGTTCTTATAGAGATACCAAAGATAGATCGTGGACTATTGGATCAATAAAATGTATTAGGAAAAGTTTTAGAAAAGCGATTTATCTATCTTACTGCGACATATATACCTATATAAAAATTAATTAAGTTACGTATATTTACGTATTAATAGGTATAGTTGCATACCTACGATAAGATAAAATTAAACCAAGCGACGTTATGTTTACAAGCGTTCGTTCATTGTCGTTTTGGCGTCGGCCGGAGCACCACGCGCCGGTTCCAAATAATTTTACCAACTTCCGAACGTAAATTCGACGACGTTTAAAATAGTTATGTAAAATTGAATTACTCTAACATTTTTCCAAATAGAAAAGTGCTGTGCTGTGGTTCTTTTTATTATTCCTTTGACTTTATAATTAAGACATTTGTTTGTAAACAATCACTGGTGCTAAACAGACCGCGAAAAGGTCTACACACCGAACTCTGCAACCAGGTAATATATAGTACTTTTATTATATGATATTAAAAAAATTATCTAATATTTAATATTCTAAAGTAAATGATTTTTATGTATAGAAAAGACTTCCTGGTTTCGCCACAAAGATATCAAGTTTATAGTTAACTGCTAACCCCGCGACTTCGTCCACGTAAATTATAGCAATATAGGTACACCAATCATCCGCGTATTAAAGTACCTAGCTACCTGTAGGTGAAAGAATATTTTGAAATCGGTCCAATAGTTTCGGAGCCTATTCAATTCAAACAGTCACACAAACAATCATATCTTCCATCCTCTTTATATGTATTATAGATCTCTTTATAGTGTAGATAGGACCTAAATAATTTTGAGAATTTTGACTATATTTACTAGAACTTTTTAATAGGACTACAAAAATACTTCTAGAAACTTAAATTTTTGACGATTAATTAAATATTAATCGAAAAAGAAATCGAGTGAACTTCATATACCTTTATAATAAATTGCAATGTATTTGGCACTTACAGCGTTATTAACAAACAACGTTTAACGTTGGAGTACTTAGTAAGTATTAGTCAAAATTCATATTATTAAACAGAGACTTAACAAAGGTTAACCTAGTACGAGGTTCTACGGGAGTATCTACTACCTTCTAGGAGTAAATATTACTCCCATAGAACCTCGTACTAAGTTAATCTTTGCGAAGTCTGTTTAA